GTTGTCTGTCCCCCTGGGAGGGGGTTACCACCATGTTGTTTTCAATCACCCCCCCCCCATGTATTTGAAAGCTGAACAACAGATAAGAACCCCCCCAAAAAAAGATGCAGTTGAATTTGATCTTGGCAAAGAATATTGAATATACCTTAGATACTGAATACCTTTTGAAGAGTGAACTGGTCCGTGTTGGAAGAAGTGCAACCAGAAAGTGCCTCAATGGCGAGACTGTATCACGCTCACCTTGGACTTGTTATCAGGAGGGACCCGTTCCCAGAGAAGGGCATCATGCTTGCTTAAGTAGAGGGTCAGCAAAAAAGGGCAAAACCCTCAACTACATGGATTGGCACAGTGGTTACAACAGAGGGCTCGAACGTCCCAGTAATTGTGAGAATAGCTAAGGTCAGGCAAGGTAGCAGTGTTGTACATGGGGGTCGCTATGGATCAGAATGACGCCTAACAGCAACAAAGAAACAAGAGTCTCCACATCAGGTCCACTGCAACCTTCCTTGTAGCTGAAATATCAGAAATTGACAAGGGAAATGAAGCTGCTCCTATCATGGTACACCATCTAGCCCATCTGTACCAACCCACATAATACAACTTTTCTGAAGAAGAAAAGGATTTCAGCAAAGGACAAATGGTTTCCAGACAAATGTGGCATCGCAGCTTCTCCTACTTAAAATCAAAGTGGGGAATATGCCAGTATCCCCTTTAAAGTGTTCCAACTGTACACTCTAATCCCACACTTCTGACTAGCCACCCTTTTCAAAGATTCATATCCTAAGGTGCTAAAAGATCATCTTGAAAAGAAACAGCAGATGTAATAGTTGCAAACCCTAACGCCAATTTGCTAAAATATTTTCACAGCTAAGTTTAGAAGAGAAGATCGTTTTCCATTTACTGCCACAGTTTACTTTCTGCTTTGTGATCTATACGTGGCTGGCGGTCTTCTGCATCTAGGTTAATCCTGTTTGTATCCTTAGATCTAAGATAAAAGTAAACCATCTTTGGAAGTTTTACCCCCTAACACAAGCAGTTTGGATTGTAAGGGGACATGAATGGATTGCCTGCTTGCCGGATGGTTTCCATCTGAATTGTTAAGGGGCTCAGCTGTGTCCAGAAATAAACTCGGAAAGATCCAGTATACAATGCAATACATTTAGTTAGTACATTATGAACAAGGGATCTAATTATAGTTCACATTTTCATATCCCTTGAGCTACTCGTGGTTACCAGGCCTAAATTGCTCACTATTTACTCATTCTTTTTTACTATGAGGGACGCATTTAGCAAATTACTGCTCTAGTGCATGAAATGGGCCCCAGGTGGCCACACTGAATTAATCTGTGCTCTGCTCACTGGCAAGATGAGACCCTGGGTCTCTCTCAAGTCTTCCCCTCCCTCGGAACATGTGTAATCTGCATTCTGTCAGAGCTTAGCAGGCCCCCATCATCTTACCCCACTTCAGTCATGCAATTATGAGTCATAGCCACCGTATAGGACAGTGTAGAACTGCCCCATAGGATTGCAAAGACTGTAATCTTTACAGAAGTGGACTGTCTCATTTTTCACCCACAGAGCAGCTGGTGGGTTGGAACCACTGACCTTTTTGTTAGCAACCAAGCACCTGACCTGCATCACCAGACTGCCTTACTACCATCTTAAACCAAACCACCTGACCTGCATCACCAGACTGCCTTATTACCATCTTAAACCAAACCAAACCCACTGCTGGCAAGTTGATTCCAATTCATATGAGCTGGTGGGACGGAATAGACCTACTGCTTTGGGTTTGGAACACTGTATCTTTAGGGGGGCAAGGAGCATCATCTTTCTCTCATGCCTATGATCATCTAAGACACTCCATTGCGGATATGGCCTCAGAGGTTTGGGGGGCTTGAGTGCCTCTTGTTGTTGTTTAAAGCCCACAAATCCTTTGCCTTCTTCTTATTCCTCATTTACCTTGCCTCCCCAGGATGAAGCTGATGTGGTGTGGGTCACAGTGATGTTTTAGATCAAGAAGCAGAGGCCTCGTGGTCTACCCCTGCCCATAGCAATCCAGGCTACTTGGAACATTCATGCAGCAAGTATGTATTGAACTTTATGTGCAGGTATCCTTCACCAGCAATAAACCCTATTGACAAAAACACTTGCCGTAATATAGGTTATGCCATTAAAAAACAACAACAAACAAACAAACACACACACACACACACACACACACACCCCTTTGGTTAAAACCAGCCTACTCTCTTCTTCTGTACTGTACTTCTAAAGAAATGGGATAGATCTAGATATGAACCCACTGCCATCCAGTAAGTTCCAGCTCACAGTGATCCTGTAGGACAGAGGATTCCCCCATCCCAGGGTTTCCCAGGCTGTACATCTGCAGGGAAGCAGACTGCCAGCTCTTTCTCCCTGGAAGCAACTGGTGAACTCAAACCACAGCCTTTCAGTGGCAGCCAAGCACTTAACTACAACGCTGCCAGGGCTCCCTCGATCTGGCTAGACCAATTATATATTTAGATATAAAAATGCCCTCCCCAAGTAAAATTCCCTTTGTAAATGAGCTCACGTAATTCGTATGATGAATACATAGTGGGCTACTATAATATTTAAGTGTATTAATTTTTAGAATTGATTTCAGAAACGCATTCTGGGTTCCACCTGTCCATGTTTCCATCAAGAGTCTTATCTAACAAACATTCTTCCTAACACCTCCCAGAGCATTTCTTTGGATGCCTCCATGAGGAAAAATAGAAAAGTTCCCTCCGTATAATTATCCCCGATACTTCTATTCATGAATTGCACCCTGAAGGAGCTTTACGGTTTGTTGAGGGCAAGGATTGCATCTGGTTTGCTCATCGTCATAATCACTTCCTGTGATGGACGGATGGACAGACGGACAGATAATGTTATCAAGTCAACGCCGACTCACGGTGACCCTGTGTACCACAGAAGGAGATGCTGGTTCTCGGCCATCCTCTTGATGGTTGACACATTCAGGTCCTTCATTGTCACCACTATGCTGATCCAGCACACCCAGGGTCTCCCTCCCTGGCCTTGTACTTTACCAAACACGATGTCCTCCTACAGCAACACGATGTCCTCCTAAAGCAAGAGCATCAGGAAGTGTTTTGCTGTGAACCATATTGTTTTCCATTGACTAATGTGGGGGAGCAGATCATCAGCCCTAATATATCTTAGTCTGGGAGCCCCCCTGACACCTGTCTACAGCGGATGACCCCACTGGTGTTTTGAAATACCAGTGGCATGGCTTCCAGCCTCACAGCAAAACACAAGCCTCCACTTTATGACAAACTGACAGATGCATGTCGGGCATAGAATAGATTCAACAAACTGTAAAGCTCTGATTGCGAGAAAAATGTACTAAACGGACATTTTAACACAAATAAGAAAAGACCAATGTCAGCATAAAAGATGTTGAGTATCGTCAAGTTACGCCCAACTCAGAGTAGCCCTATAGATACAACAGAAGGAAATACTGTCTGGCCCTGCACCATCCTCCTCATTGCTATGTTTGTGCCCATTGTAGCAGCCACTCTGCCAATGCATCTTGTCAAGTGTCATCCTCTTGTTCAGTGACCCTCTATTTGACCAAGCCTGATGTCTTTTCCCAAGGACTGATCTCTCCTAATAATATACACAAAGAATCTGAGACCAAGTTCACCACCCTGGCTTCTGAGGAACCTTCTGGTCTTCCTTCCTCCCAGACAAATGTGTTTGTTCTTCTGCAGTACTCTCAATCGTCCCCAACCAGCACCATAATGCAAAGGCATCCATTCTTCTTCAGTCTTTATTCATTGTCTAGCTTCCACATGGAGGAGGTGATTGAAGATGCCATGGTCTAGGGCAGGTGCTCCTTAGTTCTTACAGTGACATCTTTGTTCAATACTTTAAAGAGATCGTCTTCAACAGATTTGCCCAATAACATCCATTATTTGATTGCTTGAGTTCTGCTTCTAAGATTGTGGGTCCAAGGAAAATGAGATCCTTGACTTCAGTCTCCTCCCTGTTTGTCAGGGTATTGTCCAGTTGTGAGGACGTTTACCTACATTGAATTGTAATTCACACGGAAGGCTATATTCTTTGATCTTCCTCAGTAAGTGCGTCGAGTCTTGCCCAGTTCCAGCACACAAGGTTGTGTCATCTGCGTAACACAGCTTGTTAAGGAGCCTTCCTCCAAAGCTGATGTTCCCTTCTTCTTCAGAGTCCAGCTTCTCAGATGTTAGTCCACCTACAGGTTGAATAAGGATAGCAGAAGGATACAACCCTGATCCACACCTTTCCTGATTTTAAACCACGCGTAGGTTCTGCATGAGCACACTACAGGGTTCTGGAATTCTCATTCTACATGACGTTAACCATAGTTGTTATGGTTCATGATGTTCAGTGCATTTGCATGGTCAATGAAACTCAAGTAAACATCATTCTGGTATTCTCTGCTTTCCGTCAAGTTCCGTGTGGCATCAGCAATGATGTCCTTTGTCCCATGTCCTCTAGAGAATCTAGCTTGAATGACTGGCCACTCCCTCTCAAGGCTGCACCCATTTTTGAATTCCCTTCAGCAAAAATTCCATACACTTATGGCCCCTTTAAGTTAAACAGAGATAACTTCATAAAAGTTCATTATTCTTTCTTTTTTTCTCATATAACTACAGATTTTTTACGAAATGTCATTATACAAGAGGGTATCCTTTTTTTTCAAAGCTATGTATTTATTTATGTTTTTTAAATAAAACAACCTATCACCTTCAAAGTACTCTCCATTGCACTTAATACATTTGTCAAATCTGTGATTCCATTCGTGGAAACATTTTTAAACTCATCTGTTTGGATGGCTGACAGCACCTCCCTCATTTTTTTCCTTCACCTCTTCTTTGTCATCAAATTTCTGCCCCTTCATGTCTCTCTGCATTCACAGAAACAGAAGCAAGTCACACAGAGTGAGGTCAGGTGAATGAGGTACATGGCACAGTAGAGGCATGCTGATATTTTTGCCTAAAACTGGTACACTGAGAATGGCTGTGTGAACAGGTGCATTATTGTAGTGGCAAAACCAGTCCCCCATCTGCCACAAATCAGGCCTTTTTTGTGTTGCACGCAGTTACACATCTTTTCAGAACCTCTAAGTAGAAAGCTTGATTAACAGTCTGACCTGGTGGAAGGAATTCCAAATGCACTACGAGTAGACTTTTTCATCTAATTTGGAAGTTGACAGATGTCAAGAACAAGTTTATCATCAATTGACATTTCACCTTTTTTGAAACAAGAAAACCACTTGTACACTTGAGTTATTCCCATAGGGCTGTCCTTGTCAGCTGTGTTCAACATCACAGCAGTTTCTACAGCATTTTTCTGGAACAGGAGACAAGATTTCACAGTCTCATACTGTTCTCTTAAATTGGCCATCACCAAAAAAAAATGAGGTTCCAGGGAAATTGCTTTCAGGTAAAAATTCACTGTGGCCAGTGAGAACCTTCCCAGGTGACGCCACTGGTGCACTAACTCAGAGGGAGTTGCTCAATGCTCACCTAGCGGGAAAAACGTGTAGTACGAACGCTTACTGTGCTTATTATGAAAGATCCACCCAATGCAGCTTTTTCCCAGTTTGTTTGTTTTGGGGGCGTGGGGGTGGGCACCCTCATAGAGCAATACCAGATCTCAGACTGGAATTTTGGAACTCATTGACATTTGCGACTCTAGAGCTTGGGTTACCATCTCTAGGACTCTTTCATCTACAGCCATAAATAGAGGGCTATGTTGAATTCGGAACTGTGACTCTCGAGAATTTAACCATTTAGAACCATCTGCTGCCATGTGGACCAAAATATTACAAAACATGACCCTGCACCCATGCAAAAAGTCTGTGTGGTCTTACATAGCTCTGTCACGCAAACGGAGCACCAAGAACACAGAGCAGAGGGCCATGCTCAGGTGGGCCCGGGACTAAGTGGTACACAGTGGTGGGGACAACAGGCAGAGTGGCATTCTCAGTGTTACACACATGCCTCTGTTTGAAAGGTGACTCCTTATTATGGCTTGGGGAAGTATGGTATTGCTCAAGGTTGGAAGGCAAATGACTTCATTCCAGTTCGGGCTTTATTCTAACTTGCTAAGGATGAAGGAAACCCTGGTGGTGTGGCTGTTAAGGTCTCTGTTGCTAACTGAATGGTCATAATTTCCCGGAAGAAAGACGTGGCAGTCTGCTTCTATAAAGATGACATCCGTGGAAATCTTATGGGGCATCTCTGTATGACCTATTAGGTAGAATTAACTTGACAATGCTGTATGACCTTGGGAAGATCTTTGACCTCGAGGCTCCATGTGCTGATTTTATAAAGTGAAGGGTTGAACGCGACAGTGTCTCTAAAATCTCTTCTGGCTCAGAAATATCTGCTTGTAGCTAAAAGCAGAATTGTCTCCTTTAGAATCTTGGCAAACGTTTTTGTAAGTCACAGAGCAGAAACTTTCACATTTAGATGCTATTAATTTGAAATAAAAAGCCTTTTAAGACAGAATCTTGCCATTTAAAGGAATATGTTTAATGCATTTAGAATAACAGCAGGCTTATCCTGACATTTAAGAAAACTGCTAGGCTCTTTCTTTGAAAGATGAATTTGTCATGAATAGGAACCAATCCATGACCAGACCTACTGCTTCAGAGTCCCAAACACGGGGTTCTCACCAGGCCTCCCTGGAATGGTCACACTGCAGTTGGACACCATTGTGGCGTCACTTCTGACCCCCTGGCCAGCTCTGTGCGACAGAGTAGAGCTGCCCCGTAGGGTGTCCTAGGTTGGCATCATGAGGGACTTTTCATACGGATCACCAGGACGTTTCTCCCACAGAACCCCTGGTGAGCTTAAGCCATGACCTTTCTGTTAGTAGCCACATGCTTTGACCTTGGCACCGCCAGGACGTTCATGGGTATAAATCTCCTAGGCACAAAATGAGGTCACTGCAGAGAAGCTAATGTCAGCTCCTGTGAACCCACACACAGCAGCAGACGGGGACAAGGGTGTTCTTAGCGACAGTAGCTCGTGATGCCCCAAACTGGCACCTACCCAAATGTCCTTCCATGGAACCCAGAGCCATCAAGCTCATCCCAACCTATAGGGACCCACTGCAGGCTGCCCAGGTTCAAGTCTGTACAAGAGCAGACAGCCTTCCTCTTTCTCCCCTGGAGTCCAGCACTTGACATTCAACACTACCAGAACCACCAGAATGAATACATTGTGACGGTGCTGGCAAGATGAATTAATACCACTGACTCTTAAAAAGATCTTGAGTGAAAGAAGCCGGACCCAAGAGATCACTTCCCAAACTATTTTCTCAGGGGTGCCAGCTGAGAGTTAAAACTACCATGAAAGGAACGGGTTCGCGGAGGGGACATAGCTGTTATTGCTCCCACAGATCTGAATCTATGTTTTTCAAGCTATCCTAAACTGTGTGTTTGTGTTCTACACATTTTCAGGTTATATTTGTACAATCTGTGTTCTATTTCACAATAAAAAAGGTCACTTTTGAGATTGATTGTAAGACTTTCTTAGGAGTCCCTGGGTGGCGCAAACGGTTATATGCTCCAATACTCACCCAGAAGGTGATGGTTTGAATTCACCTAGAGGTGCTGCAGATTAAAGGTCTGGAAATTCACTGCCCAACGAACAGTTTTACACTGACGCACACGGGGCTTTGCCAAAGGTCACAATGGACTCCCGGCCTTGGGCAACTGGTTAAGGCCTTGTTACAATGTGCTCTTCTTTAACTTTATTGTAAATCCGATGGGCCTTGTTACAATGTGCTCTTCTTTAACTATTTATTGTGAATCGGATGGGCCTTGTTACAATGTGCCCTTCTTTAACTGTTTATTGTGAATTGGATGGGCCTTGTTACAATGTGCCCTTCTTTTCTTTAGCTGTTTATGGTGAATTGGAAGGTGGTTCACAGAGCATTCAACACTTTGTTTCATGGTTACAGTCCCCATGCAAACTGCTTCATGGTTACAGTCCCCATGCAAACCATCTGAGTGTCCCACTTTCTCCTTGAGCTGTCCCACTTTCTCCCTGGGCTTCCTGCTCAATCCCCCCTCCCCTCCTAACCCTTCAGCACTTTGTCCTTGGCTAAGTGCTGCCCTTTTGATCTCAACCAGACCTACTGCCTGGCTGAAAATTGAGCCATGGGCTCAAGTTCCTTCCCAGCCCTGAAGGGTGGCTAAGGGCCATCGTTTGAGGGGTCCACCGGTGTCGATCCACCAGGAAGCTTATTGTGCTTTATGATTTTGAGTTCTGTTCACATTTTACTCCTACTCTTTCTAGCACCTCCTAAGAGGGTCCTTCCATCTGAAGGTCTTTTGATGATGCCCATTATTAGCAGTTTCAAATTGTGTTGTTTTCAAATATTTGTTTTACCCATGTATCATTTTAGTCACAAAACGTTAAATAGCATGGAAATCAGCCCTTTGGCATGATTTTAAAAGGAAGTTGAAAAATTACTACTAGTGGGAAAGAAATAGAAGTTCACTGTAGAAAATGCGGGCATGGAAACAGACTCCAGTGACCAGGGCATAGTTTCACACGTCCCCTCTCAGACTTATTTCATGCATTTTAATATAGCAAAGTGCATTGTGTATCAAACGTTTTCTACCCTGCATTTTTCTTTCTTTTTTAAAAAAATTATTATTTTTTTACCCTGCATTTTTCACTTCACAGTATGCCAGAAACACTTGTCTGTGTCACATTAAAAGTTCTCCCTACTTGTAAATTTTAATTTCGCTATAAAAATGCATCACTGGGGCAGCTCGGAATTTGTTTAAGTGCTTCCCGAAGGGTGAATGAGTGATTGGACAAGATGCTGTCCTGGCCTATTTTCGTACTATGAAGAGTAAGATTATAGCTGGTTTTGCTACACTCATCTTTTCTTATCTGCCCAACCTTCAGCCACAACTTAGCTACATTTAAATCCAACAGTATCTGAAGCCCTTTTTAGATGAGCCGCTGAGAACTGGAAACGAGGAAACTTTTCCCAAGTGCCTCCGCCAGGCCAGGGTAGGGTTTATCAAATAAAAATGTAGGACACCGAGTTACTGCAATATTTATGCACACAGGTATGAAAAATTGTATTCATTATTTATGTGAGATTCCAATGTAACCGACTGCCCGTATTTTATTATTCCAGGACACACCCAGGCCTATCATACGTGTTTTCCATGTTCATCTGTTTGAGCATTATACATATGAAATGTTTGGCAACTTTCCTAAGGTTACACAGGTCCATAAAAACTCACTGCATCCAGTCAATGCTAATGCATAGTGTCTCCCTGTGGGTTTCTGAGACTGTAACTGTTGATGGCAGCAGGCAGCCCAATCTTTCTCCAGAGGAGCTGCTGGTGGTTTTGAATGGCCCACCACTTGCATCGCAGCCACTCGGATGCCTAACCACTACAGCACTAGGTTAAGGTTGTATAGCTAGAAAGGGGCAAAACAATGATAGAAGCTGAGGTCTTCTGTGACCAAGAACATTGGTGCTGTGTGCCCCTGAGTTACTTCTGACTCACAGTGACCCCTCCAACTTGGGTGGAACTGCCCCATAGGGTTTCCTAGGCTGCAAATCTTGAGGGCAGCCGACTACCTCCTGTATCTCCTGTGGAACAGCTGGTGCATTTGAACCGCTGACCCACCAGCAGGCAAGCACATAATCACTGTACTACCAGCGTTTCCTGACACCAGACTTGGTGACTCAGTCAGAATGTATCTACAGCCTCCCCACTAGCCTAGCTTGGCTTGAAGTGACTACATTCAGATGTAAGACTTTGAAGAGGACAGCTTGCGCTTGTCACTGGTCTGGTCGGCTACAATTAATGTGCTGAGCGTGGGGGTCAGCACTGCACTAAAGAATTCATTTGAACATGCTTGTGGATCTAAATGAGAGAGTAAATGGAAAAACTTTTGAAAGTGATCTGGGGGTCAGCAAAGATCTTGAACATGAAATAGAAAGGTCTAACATAAAAGGGAAAAAAGTAAAAAATGATCAATCAGACATCTTTCACATCCTGAACGTGTGCTTATCAGAAGCCATCATTAAGAGGGAACATGCAAGGCACAGGTCACCTGGCGACAAGGCCTTTGTGTTTGAGAATGTATGAAGACGTCCTTCAAGTCAATAAGAAACAGACAGCCCTTTCAAAAAGGACAAGCAAAACAATCAGACACTTAAATGGTTAGTGCACAAAAGAGGGCCTCAGACAAGCCAAGGAGTACATGGAAAGATGCCGCCATCAAGACTCGCCAGGAAAGGACAGATGGCAACCATGATGAGACAGACAGTCTGACACATCTTGGGACGCTAAACTGCAAAGAGTGGACATGTCACGTGGTGGCAAGATTATTATAGAGCCACTCATAGATGCCTCTGATAGACTCCAAACTCACTGCGTGCGATCCAGTCAGTGCTGATTCATAGAGACCCCATGTGGGTTCCCGAGACTGTAACTATTTACAGGAGTAAAAACCCCAGTCTTTCTCCTGAGGCACTGCTGGTGGTTTCGAACTGCCGACCATGTGGATCGCACGCAGCCCAGTGAGTAACCATTACACCACCAGGGTCCCTACCCAATGACCTACCATTTCCTTACCAAAATATAAGCATACAAATACTATTTTTAAATACACACACACATAGATAGTAAGATGAGAGATAGAGAGATAGATAGATAGATAGATAGATAGATAGATAGATAGATAGATGATAGATAGATAGATAGGGATCATTTCCCTTTTGTTTATGGAATATCATACTTACAAAGGAAAACATATTCCAGGTAGCTGCAGCGCCCACCTCATCAAATCCAGTCAGTGACAGGATCCCATTAAACTCACATTGAACAACGTGAGGATCCCATTAAACAACAATCCCTTCCCCGGGATATGTGGTGTCTTCCCCACCCTCCCTCATTCCTCCATGTTTTCCTGTCCCTTCCCTCTTCCTACTGCTGCCCCTGCCCCTGCCCCTGGCCTGCTCATAGTCTTTAAAGACTTTTCCTTTGGTGTGAAAACCATTTTTTCTTTTTCTTTATTTTCTTTTAGAATAATAGTGTCATAAAGTATTTATTTTTATGAGATTTACTTGTTCTCTAATTTTGCCCATGCCTTAAGGCAGGGGTCCTCAAACTTTTTAAACAGGGGGCCAGTTCACTGTCCCTCAGACCCATTGGAGGACCGGACTATAGTTTAAAAAAAACTATGAATAAATTCCTGTGCACACTGCGCATATCTTATTTTGAAGTGAAAAACAAATGGGGCAAAAACACCTGGCGGGCTGGATAAATGTCCTCGGCGGGCTGCAGTTTGAGGATCCCTGCCTTAAGGTGTTCGACAGTCTTGTCATTGTTTTCAATGATGCGTAATATTCTGTTGTGTGTATGTACCAAAGTTGGTTCACTCATTCCTCTGCAGTCCAAGTTTTTTATTGTTTCCATCTTTTTGTTATTATGGAAATTGCTACAATAAACATAGGTGTGCCTGTCTATGTCCATTTGTGTTTGTTCTTTATTATGTAGGGTGTACAAGAAGGAGAGAAACTGCAGGATCATAAGGTCTTTGCATCCGTGCCCCACTGGTTTCCACAGAGGTTATACAAGTCTATAACCCGACCAGTGTTGCAATTGCTTCACATCCTCTCCAGCAATGACTATATTCTGGTTTTTCTTTCTTTATTTTCTTTGTTTATG